TTCATTCCCTGCGCAAAGGGACGCTGGGGAGCGGCGAGGCCTTTCATGATTCCTTTATGCCCAGCTGAAATAGTTTGAAAGTATTTGCGATCATCTCCACGGGGGTAAATACGATGTTTCAATTGCTGTCCTGTATTATTCAAGAAGTCAATTGAAGTAGTGTCTCCAAAATTGAAAATGCTCACTTCCGACACAGACGTGTGAAATAATTGATGTGAAGCATTGTAAAACATTGTCTTTTATACTGTAAGAGTGTCAGAGGAAGAAAGTTCCAGACGCCCTGAAAAGCTTTACATTTGTACACTTTGTTGAATAATGTTCTCACCTCAGAATGAAAGAGAGCAGAAGGATGCTTTGGAGCTGAATGTTCTGTGGTATATTTCATGAAACACAATGTTGAATTTGTTTTGCTCAAGTGGGAAAGCCTGAGTCTTAATATGTGAAGTGGATGTCAACAAAGTAGTACCAGGACAACAATTTGGTTAGTCAATTATTAACCCTGTAAGGCCCACTGTTGTAATTTTACAACATTACTTTAAGCTATCCTAAAAAAGTCAGTAAATGTTTTGTTTTTTTAAAGACTACATTTACATAGTCAAAAGGTCCTTTTGTTCAGCCTCACAATGCTATTGGTTAGTACATGTGTTTATAGGTCCTGCCCTCTGGCCATACACTCACAAAACTTCAGAATCTTCAGACGAGCAACATCTCTTTGTTTTATTGGACTGGATTTGTCAGATTCAAGTAAGTTAAATGCCTCAAATAAATGTTATTGTGATTATTACAATGTCTAGAACATGTACATATTTAGTTAAAAAAAATTAATTCTAATGTTTTTCTATTTTTGGGCTTTACAAGGTTAACAATTTAGGTAATTATCAGCAAACATTTCCAACATTCACAAGTTCTCCTCTTACAAATACAATAATGAGCCTCTTATCTATGTTTATATCAGTGTGAATTGAATATCTTTGGTCAGTCAAAACAAGCACTTTGAAGGATGACCTTTGGCTCATGGAAATTGTAATGAACTTTTTTCAGTACTCTATGAATCAAATATTTGAAAAACAAATCGACTGAAAATGGAGCTTAATCCATCAGCCATCATTTGGATATGTTCAGGTCATTCTTTACGCAAAGGTTCTGTCAATTTAGAAGAGCTTTGGTGCTTGATCCTTCTTAGATCTCCTTTATTTTAAATATTTTGACCACTTCACCTTTGGCTCTGAGATTTTGTGCCCCACATTTCATTAATGACGGTTTAGGGAAATAATGAACACATTCATTGATTATAATTAGTTGCAGACATTGTTCATCATAAAAGTAACTTACTGTATACGCTCCACATCTCCATTGAAGTCAATAATCACATTCATAAAAATGCTTGGCATGATGGGAGAGTGAGCCGGGACGTGCGATTAAAATAACTTTTTTATTTTCTGTCAAACTGGAGAGATCAAAGCAGATACTTGTAGTTGATTTAATGGATTAGGTAAATGACAGAATAAATTGTCAATTATTCTTAAAGCAAAAAGGCAAAAAAACTCTATTTACAGCTTAAATATTATAATTAACATTTTGGACTGAATGCTGTCTGAATGTATCAATTATATTACATTTTATGTATGTTTTGTTGTCTAAAAGATGAATGAATGAATCCATAGTAATGGCAGTGTCATGTAACCATGTGTCTTATTCATTATGTACTCTGTTTACATCCTTTCAACTTTGTATGATAGAGGCTTACAGTAGGCCCTGCTCTTTGTTCCCTGTGGATTCAGTGTGGGCTGCTGAGGCACGCAGCCTGGCACGACATGTCTGCACACACTATATGATACGTGTGTGTGTTTGTATATACCCGTCTACATGTGTGGCATGTCTGCTGCAAAGAGGTGTGTGTGTGTGTGTGTGTGTGTGTGTGTGTGTGTGTGTGTGTGTGTGTGTGTGTGTGTGTGTGTGTGTGTGTGTGTGTGTGTGTGTGTGGTGTGTGTGTGTGTGTGTGTGTGTGTGTGTGTGTGTGTGTGTGTGTGTGTGTGTGTGTGTGTGTGTGTGTGTGTGTGTGTGTGTGTGTGTGTGTGTGTGTGTGTGTGTGTGTGTGTGTGTGTGTGTGTGTGTGTGTGTGTGTGTGTTGGGCTAAGACAGTCGCTCACAAATAGCTCCTGAGGGCCCTCCGATCACAGACTGCCAAAAGGAAAAGGATTTCCGAGAGGTTTCCTTCTCGCTATTTAAAGTGGGAGCCCTGTGGGACATGTTTGGCATTCTCATCCACTCACTGAAGATGGCCTGTGATCTGAAGCCACTAACAGGCTCGGCGCTCCGTTTCTCGCTCGCTCTCTCCCTTTCTCTCCCCCTCTGGCTCTCTGAAGTGATTACCCTGCTTGTGATTCCACTGACACCCACATGTCCCCCGGAGACATGCCTTCACTAGTTTGTTTAATCTGCCTCCCTGTACAGTAGGTAACGCAGCCATAATTGAGGTGTGGATAGAGCTGTGGGAGCAGATGAAACCAATAGCAGGCTTTCTCTCTGGATGTCAGCAGTTGCTAAATTAACGAACAAAATGCTGCTGTGATAAGAAGTCAAACCGTTAGCAGCTAAATGTCTTCAGCAGTGATCTGTCAGCCCTCTGTTTGTGATTGTGTCCCCAGTCAATAAACGATGAGTCGCCTCATGATAGAGGCACAAATATCAGCGTTTCCATAAGGATCTGTTGCCAGGGAAAAGTTGTGCATCCAATCATATGTTAAACTTTTTTTTCACTGAGGCTGATAATGAGTTATCTGAGATTAGAATACCATTAAGCAGGCCACGCAGTCAAGCAGATATTTGATCTCAACAACATATGACTTCCAAAAGTTGTGCTGATACCTGAGACAGATTCCGCTTTACTCTCCGTTTGAATTTTTCGATAGGAGAACAGCGAGTGGAACTGTGAAAATGCGAGCATCAGATACTCTATCTCCCCCGGTTAGTGTCTATCCACTGTCTGTAACACGCTTGAACCGCTCTGTTCAGAACATACAGTGTCAATCATCGCCCAAATCAGCCTTTAGATGAAGCAAAAAAGGAACAAGAAAAGATCCATACAACTAAACTTGAATTAATTAAATATACTGTATCATGCTTCCTCTGAGAGATTGCATCTGTCCTCAGATGTGTAAAAAATAAAACATTCTCAGATATCTTTTTAAACCCTGTTATTGTAAGATACCATTAATTAAATTGACAGTGTTATTAATTTGGTTGAAGATAACTTGCATTGAGTCGAGGACATCTTAAACTCAATTAAAGATATCTGCAACTCAATTAAAGATATCCAAATGCCATGTCCCGCAATATGCAATCAGGCTCTTTCTGGCGCAACAGTATCAGTTCACTCGTGCCCCTTTGACAAAAGCTTAAAGTTTCCTTTTTTTATCATTTAAAGCCTGATTTTTTTTTAATAGATATCGCCCATGTCACACTTTGGTGATGTGTATGGTTTCTTTAATGTGGCATAATTATAGTATTTAATCCTTCTTTATCCAGCCTTTGAAATAGAAATAAAGATTATGCACTGACATCAGGAAGTGAAGCATTTAAAGGGATAGCTCCAAGTGTTTGGAACACAGCAGTGGATGCAAGGAGCCTGTCTGACAGACATGAACAGCAGCAGGTAACAGGATTAACACAGATTAACCAGCAGAAAGGTCATCGATAACTATGTTTAAAATCATTTAGCCCATTCCCATTTTTGCGTAAAAATCCTAAACATTTCCTTTCCAGTACTTGTGATCAGCATTTTTGTTTTAAAGGTTAATAATTTTAACAAAAAATAAGATCTCGGATATGCTTGGAAGTTTGCGGATAAAAAAAGGCCTTAATGGCTGTTTTATTGGCATGAAGTCCAGCAATTGTCCCACTGTTACCAGGCAGCGGCTCTCCCACTGGATTGTGGGAGGGACAGCTCTGGCCTATAGGGTCTGCGTGCTCATTCTACTCGTGGCCTGGCTACGTCCTGGGCTTTGGTTAAGGGGGTTTCCATCCAGGACATTTGTGCGGCAGCGAGCTGGTCTTCACCGCTCACTTCGTCCGTTTTTACAGATTGGATGTGTCTGCTCCAAGCGTGGCCCATGCAGTGCTGGGCTCAGGGTCCGCGTGGGACAGAGTTCTTCCTATTGAGTACTGGTGGTTTTTCGAAATAAGCATCGCTGGCAGTACGGGAGTCTCCATATCCCATAGTGAGACATCGGAACGAATGTTATGAATGAGCACTATAGGTTACTAGCGTAACCCCGGCTCTCAGAGTAACATGAGTGAGATATCTCACCAGAAAGCCCTTCTTGCTGAGGCAAAGCGAGAAGAGGTGCTTATTTGGAATGATGCTGCGTCGTAGCGCAAGCTACTTTAAGGGTGGGTCGATTTGCTGACATGGTCTTCAAGATCACCAGCCAATCAGGATTGGCGTAATGAGATTGATGCTTATGACTCATGTTACTCTGAGAACCAGGGTTACGCTAGTACCCTATAGTTTTTAATTGTCTTAGGCCAATAACTGCTGCCCTGATCCAGGCCCAGGTTTCGGTTTCACAAAAACTATTCAGGTTCAATTAAGACACTGCGTGATTTTTTTTAAAGCCATATTATATACGTATATATTATATTATATATATACTCTCTTATCAGTATCATGAAACTATTCAGTAAACAAAACATTTTTAAGATAATATATATTTTTGACCTGGTTGTATCACTGTCCTGACAGAGATTCTCTGCACACTGCAGGATGCCCTGTATCATCACTAGCTGATTATAGGATCATTGTGTCTGACAGGCCTGGTAAACAGTCTCACTCTCCAGCTCATAACAGTATCCATGGTGTGATCATGTGTTTGCAGCTCGATGTGTTTCCAGTGAGTGGGATGTGACTGTTGGTTTCCTGACGGATGTTATCTGACCTCAAATATCTGTGGTTTTCTACTGAACATGTTCTCAGCCTCCCCTCCTCTTGCTGTGCCCAGGGCGCTGTGCCAGCTGTGGGGACAACGTGGTGGGTGAGGGCACCGGCTGCACCGCCATGGACCAGGTCTTCCATGTGGACTGCTTCGTCTGCATGACCTGCAGCAGCAAGCTGCGCGGCAAGCCTTTCTACGCTGTGGAGAAGAAGGCGTACTGTGAGCCTTGCTATATTGTAAGTCACTTTTTGTTCTGCCTCACCACATAGTTTGGGCTAACTCTAGTTACTCATGTCTCATGTTGCAAGTAAGCACTTTATGATATCAGAACGGGCATGTTGGTAGCTCTGTGCTGGAATGTTCACATATTTTTACCTCAGACAACTACATTTCATCATCAATGCCCGGCAGGCTCCAAACCCTCGCCACACATATCTTCATTTCCTCTTTTTCTTTCCCTTTGTTTAGTTTTTGGTCACTTAATTCAACTTTATTTCATGGTGTCTTCCCCTGAAAGGGATGTTTTGAAGTTATTCAACTTATAATGACCAATACTGTTGAATTACATGAGAATATGCTGAAGATAATGAAACAAGCTCAGTCTCTTAAAGTGTTCAGTGCCGTTTGTTTGATATCAAAAGGTTAGCTCTTGAATCTGTTAGCAGACTTGTATTATTGGCTCAGTACCAGTAGGTGCTAGCCAGCAAGCTACTGACTAGGGCTGGGTGAGCCTCTCTATAGTCAGAGAACTCAACAGTAATCTGGCCCTGCTGCCCCCCCCCCTCCTCCGCTCCATTCAGTACCAGGCCCAATCAAAGTGCCTAAACATATAAGCACATTTTCTTTGGGGTATATTCAAATATATTTAAATTAGCAGGGGCCCTATCGAATAAAATAAAATTAGTACTGTGCCACTTCTGCCTCAGCTCTACCAGCTACATTAAGCATATCATATTTATTAATGTCAGACACAAAGCCTATAACATGTCATTGTGTGGTGAATATTGTTGTTTTTTTTGTGGCAAAAATCAATGAATGCAGGTTGTAGACACCTGTTACTCCTGTTAGCTAGCAGAGCATGATAGTAGTAGCTCATCTTCAGATGTTTCTTGGCTACCCACTACCTTTTCTTCCTGCCACACACAACCTGCTAGATTATTAATATTCTCTCGCTCAATAATGATATCAGCGATGTCATCGTTGTCTTTTTACAATGGAGGAATTTCACACATCTCTTCCTTGGTGAATTAGATGATGATTATATTGTTTTCACTCGCACATCTTTCAGTGAGCTGATCCATAGCTATCTCCAGTTCCAGCTGATAAGCACTCAGTTGTGGTTTAAATGCACTTATTAAAATCATGTTAGAATGTAACACAGTGTACCTTACTTTGCGGATGACATTAAACAGAGGGTTCTGTCTCATCTCATCTTTCACAATCTTGTCAGGAAAGACACGTCATCTCGCAAAGCCACCAGGAAACCGTTCAGTGCAGAAGTGTTTGCCTCATTCAGTTTCATTCGACTAAGGTTCAGCCTATGTCCAGTTCCTGGAAATGACGTGGTCCAGGTTTTTCTTTTGCCAGCAATAGTGTGGGTAAGTTTGTAGGTCATTTCTGGAAACTGAGAAGGGAAATAGCTGTGTTATGTATTCAGCTTTCCTTCTCATTAAGAGCTATGTGTATCAGATTAATGGACGCGATTTGTAAAACAAAAGGAATTGTGAAAAATGAAAAAGATCTGCAGGAGTGAGAAAGAAGTGATCTGGTATATCACTCTTTTCTGACTCCACCCCTCCTCATCTCTGCTTGAGGCCAGCAGTTTCAAGTTGCTGAGTTGCACTGTGGGCAATGTAGGCAACAGATTTTTAAAACAAAAAATTCAATAAAACAGATCTCTGGTTGTGCATCGAATTTGATCAGTTTTTGATTTGTTGGTTTGATTGTTGTTTTGTCAGCAGGGTTATAAAAGAACTACTGGACTGATGTCGATGTAGATTGATGGAAGGGTGTGGCACGAGCCAAAGACAAACCTATTTCATTTTGGACTCACTGGGCGGGTACACGCATTGTTCTTAGCGCAGTTCTGCGCTAACTTAGTGCACTTACAGTTTAACAATGCACTTCTCCAACAATGTTATTTGTGTTGCTAAAGCATACTGTACAGAAGTGCAAAACTCAGGATCTGACTTTTCGAGTATTTGTTTTGTATCTTCATTGCTGTAGCTTTTGTAAGACAACACTTTTTCTTCAGCCTGCGGCACATAAACGCCCTTAGACATGTTGTCAGGCAATAGTTTGCCAAAGACCACAAATTGTTCCACTATGCAGATTCTAGTTAAGACTCTTTACATCGAGATGATGGGTCTGTGGGTGTTTCTCAATGTCGAGTACGCTTGCTTGGTAGCACATGTCTGCCGAGCATCTTGCTTCAGAAGCGAGTCAAGAATACTTCCTGGCATTTGGAAAACAAAGAGAGGAACACGCTAGCAAGTGTGCAGGTGTGCGTCATATGAGAGGCCCCGCCTTACATCTTCCGCCACAGATTTGGGGAAATTGGTCCGTGCGCAAAGCATTGTGGGGATTTTAAGACCGCGGAGTCTACTCATGTGCAGCCTCGATATTTCTCCAAACGGAGTACGCCGGGCTCGGTAGATTTCCAAGTATGCTGGAGATTGGAACAGTACTTCGGCGGCACTCGATGACGTAGTATGCTTGAAATAGTGGCTCTGAAGCAGCTTTACTCGCGATTGAGAAACACCCTCTGTCTAAACCTTTGTAGCATGCTAGCTAATGAAAAGGTGAGGGCATTGTTTTTGATAGAAGATACATCTTGAAGACCAGGGCCATTTATATATTACTACTGATATATACAGTATTTGCTTTTTATGAAATGAAAATGGAATGATAATTATTGTTCCTAAAGAAATACATTTAAAAACACACTGATATCCTTGATTCTCCTGACACAGCACATTAACACAAACATAAATATTTCCTTCACATGGCTTGCAGGAAATGGATGAATGTGCAGTGAAGTCTGGAGTTGAGCTACATGACGTTTAAAGCAGTGGCAGGACATCTTCTAAATCTTCCCTTTTCAGAGGCACTCTCTGTGATTGTAGTTGTCTTGTCTGGAAGTTCTCCAACTCTGATACATGCGCTAAAGAGGAACGGGATAATTTAGGAACCTTATTTATGCATTTCATCAGCATAAATGTTCTTCTGGCACAAGATCAAAAGGATGGGGGAAATCTGAATTTCTTAATGAAAGTAATTTCTTCTTCTTTTATTCCCATCCTCAGGGTCATACGCCTCTGTAAGATTAGAGAATGAACGTGAGAGTTGAGTCTCTGAAGGGAAATGTTAAAACCCAAAGAGGAAGAGAAAACTTCACGTTAACCTCCGGGTCAGTCAGTCTAGGAATCTCTCTGAGCAAATGAAAATGAATGTGTATTTATTTTACTGTAGATTCAGATTGTGTTCTCAACCTGCCCTATTCCTATCTTAACTTGATCCATGAAGTTGCCTTTAAATTCAGACTGCATGTGTTACAGGTATCTAAAATGCTTCTGTATTTTTTCTCAAATTATGCTTTGAAAATATTATGTCAGCAAACAACCATATGCTATATGTAAAGATACATATGTAAATATTCTTCCACAGAGCTATGGTGCAGCATCCAAACATTCTATAAAACCCTTTAGCCAAAGTAGCTCAAATGCTTAGAATGACTGTACAAAGGAGATTGAAGAAATAGCTCCATAAATAACTGAATAATATATTACATAATGTTACATTAAAAAATAAATCATATTAAAATTGTAATCCAATTTACCAAAATAACCAAGACTCGTAGCATCGTTTACTTGTCTTTTTCGTTTTTGTTTAAAGGAAACTTTATTCTGATGTTTATCTTGTTGTATAGGATGTTCAGGGGCCACACACTCTGATTCATCTCCTCTGCTGAGATCACAAACACACAGGGTTATATTCAACTGTAGAAAGTGGAACAGTTATGTGTATGAACTCATTTTGCATAGTTTGTATTGATCCCATATGTACAGAAAGTATGACATATATCTATCTTGCAGGGGCCTGAGGAAACTCACTGTGTGTAAAATTGGTGTAATAGTATGCAAATATCCATTAATCCCTTGGCCAGGAATTGCAGGAATACATTTTGCACGGCAAGCTGATTGCCATCCAATAAAGTTTCTGCCATGTATCAAAGTAGGCGATCAGCAGCCCCCTTATCTAGGCTCAGACTTTGCATATTCTGTGGAACAATAGCCACATTTGTGTTAGCGACATCCATCTCTTCCGCTGGGTGATTTGCCTCATTCAAACTGTTTGTGTAGATATCGTTAATTCCTTTTAGTAATGTGCAGGAACTCTCCCACATCTGTTATCATCGCCCAGCTACTTCCTGATTTTACAAGCTGCTATCTCTGTGCCTCAACAACCTCAGTCACACCGCCGGCCCACAGACACCAGGCCAGTGATCCGCCTTTGTCCCTGGCACTGCCATGGCTTTCCTCCAAAGAGGACTTATCGCTGTCTATTTGAATACACAACCAGGTTGATAAACTGAACAGACGTTCAATTAATGTCTCGTTTTGCATGGGGTGTACTGTAATCGTGTTAATGTGACAACATCGGGTTGCCATTGGGCTTTTATTTTTTTTCTTGTCTGATGTGTCTCTGCCTGAGGTGTCCCACAGCTTCCCTCATTCCATGTTTGCACACATGATTAGATTTCAAGTATTTGTGTGTGTGCGAGCAGTCCATCAGTGTCACTGAGAGACGGCAGTTTTGAGTTTTAGTGCCACTAAGTGTTTTCCAAGAAAGCTCTCATGTGAAGCATTTTCCAGCAGATTGACAAGTATCGCTGACTGTGTGTTTTCTCTAACAATTAATCACAGTGCATCTGGAAATGCACAAATATGAGAGGAAAGCAGTGGGGCTGGACCTTATAACAACAGTGTTACCCTGCAGCCGGGGTCTTAGCAGGGCTCTCATAACTGGACATCCAATAATGTAATCAGATCTACCATGGCAGTATGTTTGGTTTAAAATACTGTAAACCAGGGCTATTCAATTGGCGGCCCGCGGGCCAAATCCGGCCCCGGGGTGATATTTACTGGCCCTTTGAGTATAATGTTAAAAAGTAATCTACTTTTTATTTTTTTTAAGATCATTTAAGATAATTTTTTGTGCCAGAGTGCCTTTATTC